TTTGATAGTCTTCAGTCCTCTTTATAAAAGGGACACATTGAGAACATCTGAAGATTATAAAAATTTCTGTCACATTTACCTTACAAAATATGAAACTCAGAGAGAGAAACCTGCAAGACGTACATTACTTTAATGATGTGTTAGTAACGTCAGTGTTTTCCTTCTATTCAAGTTCGGCCTGTTTTTAATAAGATATTTATTCATGGCAGAAGTAAGTGGGGAAACTACAACTAGATGAAACCTCGATATCCTATTATTAGTTAGAAATAACCAGCTGAAATAAATACCGTCATAAATGTAACTCACTGTTGTCCATGGTGTCAGTTATTAAGGTTCTCTGCGTAATCCTGACCCAAGTTTCTAGTCAGTCTGCAGGATTAGATGGGAAATGAGAAGTTATTTATATACAAATCCCAACGTCGCCTCATGTCACGTACTCATATGACTAAGAAAACTTTTCTAGAAACTCAAACAGGTTAGTTATGATCAGAGATGACTAGCAAAATGCACTGATTTAGATGGTGTTTCTCGTGTTTATTCTTTCTTCTTCAAAGTCAGACATTGTTTATGTTTTGCAGACGTTCAAGATTTTATATAATCAGATAGAATATGGTTCCTCCAGTCTTCAGCTTCACAAGCCTTACCAGACAATAAACAAAACCAGTGTTGGTCGCAGATGGGTTTCATTCAACGTCGACATCCCATAAACTATTTGATGAGCGTGAAGATACAATAATGGTCGTCTTCAGCTTCTAAGCTTTGCTGTTTCTGATCTGCCCACGTGAGAACTTAGTTTTTGCTTACAAAGGCTTTCATGGTGGAGTGACCAGATCCAACAAGTCATGTACATCCAGGAGAACAGTTGGTTCATCTAGAGGCATTATTTCCGTAGTAATTTTTACATGAGTTAAGACACATAGAATAAGGTTGGAGTGAGGGAAGGAATGTACGTTGACCACATATCATGGTGAGTTCGTCCTCAAGCTGTTCCCGAGGGAACTATCATTTGTCGACCAAGTTCAGGCAGCATGAAAGAGACCTCTTACGTCCTAGAACGGCAACCTGTATGAAAAAAGAGAAACCATATACCTACATTAGAAAAGATCGGCTGAAATTTTCTTAGCGAGTGAGGACGACCACGAAGTAAGGAAAAGTGCAGTCAAAGGAAAGAACGTCGTGAGGATTATGTAAACTTTGACCACAGAAAGAATGACGGCATCGAATCAATATCAGCACATAAACTTATGATCAACTCAAAGAAACATGTCAATGGAAAGGCACAACGACGTATCAGGTTAACTCAAAGATTCTACAGGACAAAATCTCGATAAAACAAGACAAAATCAAACAAACTAGAATGAGAACTGGTCGTCCATCAGAAGATCTAAGGCAAATCCATTTCTTGGTCCAAACATAGAGCAGTGGAGGCGTCTAAAAGCCTGTAAATGGATGGTTGGCTAATCCAACCAACAAAGTAAAGCCTATAACCTGTTTGCAGGTGAATCCACACTTTGGCTGAAAAACCCATCATTTTAAGGTTCACGGATCCAACCCCAGTTCAAAAGTTTGACACTGTTCTGCTGGGTGAAACCATCTCAGCTGACCATTTCAAGACCCACAACATCTATGACAATAAAGCAAATGGATCCTGACCATGTTTAGGCTAACTAAATGAATTCAACGATGTCAGTACCCCGTTAAAAAGCCTATCCCATTGATAATGGGGTGTGGTCAGTAGTGGACTGGCCTGATTTACTTGCAGGTTTTGACTTATATTTATGTTTTCTGCCTTATCTTTTTGCTTGCTTAAACATCTTGAGGGTAGATGATTATTTAAATAATAAAAATACTGCAATAGCGATAAGACAAGAACTCATGACAAGAAATAAAAATAATACAAACAAACGTCTAACAAATTAAGCAATAGCGATAAGGAAAAAAGACTTATTGTCTGCAGAAATAACTTGATTAGGTGACAAGAATAGCCCAAGACGTTTTCCAAAATTGGATGAAAGCCTCACCTCTTAAAAGCCATAAATAAATGAGGTATTCGTTTACTTGAGCATTCATCTGATAAAATATTGTGTTTAAAACCCTGATGATGCAGTGTTCAGAACGAAATGATAAAACAAAGCGACAATAAGATGATAATGGAAAGTAATAAGTTCAAACTATATCACTGAAGTTCTATTTCATAGAAACTAATCCAAGTATTTCTCTCTCAAGAGGATGTAATTGACTAGAGTGTAAGTCATTAGGGAAGATCCAAAACTTATTGAGACTAGGAAGTCAAGCAATGAACTTGGTAGAATGATTACTCTCTAAAATCTGTACAAAGGCTGAGGATAATTTCCAAGTAAGAAAACATGGTGAATTAATAAATAATCAAAACCCATTGAAAAGTAACATTACAATAGAAAGCTGATTTTTATTATCAATGGTGTACCAGAATTATATCACTACATGGAGTTCAATATTCAGTGTCAAACACTTGCAAGCATAATTGAAGCTAGAAAAAAAATTCCAAAGAAAACACAAAGCGTAGTAATGCGTTTAGGGTTCCTTAGGAGCATACCCGAGTCTAAGTGACGTATCTGAACAGTCGCCACAATCGTGAGGCGGCCCAGAGTCTAAGGCGTTCTTTATCGATTCACTTGATTGTCCATTTTTACCTGTGGCGCTATCACAATCAGCCGTTTGTTTTCTGCTGCTTGAGGACCCAATCTGTTTTGACCGGCAAATGATGGGTGAGCTCTGCATGCGTCGATTAGGAAGGCGAAGACTGGAAAAAAATAAATGAGAAGACGACTGATTACCTCCTTTTTCAGAAGGTCATTCTCCTCCATCAATTTCGCGCCCTTTGAATACCAGAAAGAATCAGTTAGGAAAACCATTTTAAGTTACTTGCAGGATTCTCGACATGTCTAGTACAAAAAGCCATCCTAGGAACGTAAATAGTTTCGAAGCATAGAAGCATAACATAACCGATTCATGGAGGAGAAAGCAGTGGCTATTGCAGCCAAGAAAGCAGACCGGAAGAACCTTTTGTGTGAGCATTTGAACCAAGAAGAAGTAGACGGTTCATACCCATGCCGTTGTGCAGTAACTGAGGAAACTCAGAGCATCAGAGACCAGACGAACGTCACGTTTGTTGTCCTAGAATAGCTTTAAAGTTTCCATTATTGTTCTTCTTTGGAAATCTCTAAGAATACAGTTCTAATAGGTTGCTTCGTTAGCGAGTCGTCTCTGAGGGTTTCAGAGTTTCTTCAACTACATTAGGACCATGTAGGTGAAGATGGGGGCGCAGGATTTCAGGTATAATTCCTCTTCTGTTTTCTTAATGATATAGCAATCTAGGGTTAGCGTTTCCTTGGTTAGTCAAGCCGCTGTCAATTCTGTCACCGCCATGTGGGCCACTCTCAACCTCTTACAGTTGGAGGATAAAACGGGCATCTGCTCACAAATGTACTAATCTGTAGTTGTGGAGTTCCACGATGCAGATGCGGCCTCTCGCCTTCATCTTCTTCCTTCCTTCTCCCTCTCCTTGGGGACTTCTTCCACAGGAAGAATATAGACAGCTTTTTCCGAACGCTGCAGTACAACCCCCAGTCGCTACTCATCAAGAACGTCTCTGTTGCCAACGGTCGCGATTCCACGGCTGGAGATTCCAACCGTGGTCCCCAAGGTCCTAGACGTCATTCGTCTCTTCCTCTCGTCTACCGACCTAAAGTGCCACGGTGAGAGCAACTCCGAGATACCCATGACCAATAGATTCTCCGTCTGCTATTCTTTGAGAGTCTTCTTCAGGATAAACAACCAGGGTGACAAGAAGAGCTATCGAGACTATTTTACTCTGTCCTCTGCTGCCACATACTACGCTCAAGTTTAACTTTAGTGGATATTACTACAGCACGAGTGCCAGCTTTTACTGCCGTGATGTCTATTACTCCAGACCATGAAGTAACTATCTGCTTCATCAATGAAAACTTATGTGTGGCAATCTAGCCTGAATGCTGTGCTCTACTAGTAGGACGCTGGTGTCCTCTACTCTGCACTCAAGACGGGCTTTCACTGCATTTTGCCTAAGCTCTGGTACCTACTACCTATCCCAGCGTTAATGGCGTCCTCCAGTGCTCATTGAAACTCAAGTTGGTGTTCAATGTCTGCCTCTTTCATTAACTTCAACAAAGGTGACTGCTGCTTTTACGTCAGGTTTAACACCTCTTTCATGTTATTATGCGGCTCTTTACCAGGTAATGCCTCTCTGTACCTCTACAAAAAGGTTGAAGAAAAGGTGGGTCTAACGTGAGAGATCACGCCAGAGAGACGATTAGAATGTAGAGATGATAGACCTGCGATCATGTCAGTGTGCTGGTGAGACATTGAAAATGCTGGCCAATTAGCCATATATTATATTGATCATGCAGTGCTCCGTCCTCTAGTTAGACGTAAAAAGGCAGGGGGGGAACTGCCAACGATTTTCCGACTCTGATTCCCCCCTCTTTTACTTTTACTGCGCAGGAGACCAGTTGCTTTCCAGGAATGGGAAACGGCCTATGTTCAGCTGTGCGTCAGGACTTCCATTAAGGAAAGAAATGGTGACCAAGAGACTGAAGGACTGCGTATAAATCTGAGAAGCCAGGAACTACAGTATAACTAATAGAAGATCCAGGTATGCGACATCCGATTCATAGGTTTCACATTTGCTCACAAATAGGAAGAAATTGAAGAAATGCTAAACTAACAGGCAGATTGCATTTATTTACTGACCTTGTGTTGTAGTTCCTTTATTTCTCCGACCATTTGCTGACCCTGGGAAGTAGAAGTCGCCGTAAAATAAGATCTGCCGTAGATACCTTCAAAGTTATCGGAATAGATCACACACCTACCTTTCTCGTGAGAACTCGGCACAGTCCGATCTCAAGTGCTTTCTCCAAGTTCTGGAGCTCTTCCAGTGTTAGTCCTCCAATATCTTTCCCTTTCATTTGCCTAAAAATTGGATGAAGAGCTGCTTTGAGCAACCCACAGACATCTTGCGTTCAGTCATATAGGAAAGGCATACCTGAGCTGTAACCTTGACTCCAAAACATCCTTGCTTAGTGATCCACGGATGCTACCTTTAACCTATGAAGGCCGGAAAAATGGGTACCAGTGACTTGCAAATTCAGAACGGAAGGATGGACAGACTAAAACAAAATAAAACAGTATGCGTGATGAGTGTAGATTCAAGGGTCGCCCTAGTTAATCACTGTGGATTTAAGGATTGAAGATTCCAAGTCCCACGGATTCAGGATTCCGAGTTCAAGATTCCTGCCTTGTGGATTCAAGGCTAAAATATTCCACACACCATTCGCTACATCAGAAAACTCACAAAAGCATGGCGCATGAAGACTTACACAGTGATCATGAGATGGCCGCACCGATTTCACATCATCCCGTGAATGCTTGTTATGTCTTTCGATTATTGCCTTCATACTTCAAATAAAATAGGAAATAGAATATGTGAGCAAGGATAAAATAGTCAAGGCCTTCATTGCATCTAATGCTGTTTCACAAAATCCTAAGAAAATTTACAAGAAACTGATTAGTTTAACTGATTAAACTACCTAGAGACTTCTTCCAAGCTCTCACCTCAAAGCTGTTCTTCGCTGTTGAGGCTATCACACTTTGACATTTTAAATAAGAATGTGATGATGAGCACTTTGAAATTGTAGTAAGTCGCAAATATGAATGACACTTTTTCGCTTTCATGGCACTATGGCATGTCCTTGAGTAATCCAACATAAACACCTCATGCAGAAACTTACCTTCTCTAAAGCCCATATTCTCTTCTAAAATATGGCACATAAAATGTAGCTCATAAATTGTATTTCGCAGATATATTCTCAAAAGACTGGAAATAATCAGATTTGGCTATTCATTGTGTAGAAAACTTGCCCTTATTAAGCATAGAATAACACCGAAACGTAAGTTTCCACACTCTTTGGCGAAAAATATATAGCCAATACCGTGCTATGATCTAATCAACCATCAGAATAATACTAGTAGATTGTATTCTATTCTCAATCAGTGATCAGGATGCTTAACAATTGCGTTCTCTCTTTCATATGACTTGATGACTCCAGTTGGGCTCGGCAATTCAAGGCCAATCTAACCAATTTTTCAACTGGCTAATTTACGTCAAATGAAAAATAAAAAACTTTGTTCTGAAGGTGGGCATTGTCATCTGGTAGAAATAGTAGAACAAGGCCATGGAACAACAGCACTTAATGCCTCTGAGTTTTTATGCCCGATAGAAAGCCAAAAAATGAAACAATATGTCTGGCCTTGACCAGCATAGAAGTCCTAATAACCTTGCTTGAATTCTTTTGACCTTTTTATTCTCTTCATTCGATCCTACGGAAATAAGAACTGATGATAACTAGGGTTCGAATTTTCACCAATATCTTTATTAGCAATAGTATGAAGCCAATTGGGTGCAACTTAAAGAACACTGAATGCCATTAATCTGCAATTACGAACTCCTTCCTACGCATTAACGATCATTGACAATTGTGTTAGTGTAATTCCATAAATGCAAGCCCATGTGATAACTGAAGAACAATAGCAGTAGAACAAGAATGGAACCCAACCCAACCGGGGGATTAAATTTGACACACGAAGGCACAAGAAAACTCATTGGGAACAATGCCCAAGAACCTACTCACGAGGGCCAACCCAATGAAAGGTAGACCCATCTGACTATAGTTTAGTACCTCATCTTAACGTGTTTCAATTACCATAATCTAAACATGAATGATTAGTGAGAAATATGTAAGTTATAAGAAAAAGGCTAGTTTTTGGAAGCATGGAACAGTAGCATCTAACAAAACGGATCGGTCATGATTGGCCGTAGAAAAGCAACCGAAATAATTCATAACGTGGCCATCCTATGAAGAACTCACTACTCCGTTGCCAATAGAAAGAAAGGTAATCACGGTTATGTTACTCATGAACGAGATAATGCACCTAGAACCGGGAAAAACTTCATCCGAGGTAAGGGTTACAAAGGCTAAGGTTAATCTGAGTTCAAATGATAAATTACACGAAAAATATTCACTACTAGTGAGACAAACTAGCCGACTTAAGTACACTCACAGTTCCATATCTTAAAACCCTGTCAAGGAAACAGCAAGTTGTGGCCTAATCTGTTTTCATCCTGTATGGGACAAAGCTACACCCTACTTGTACCTGTAAGTTATGAATAAAAGTTAAGCTATACGCAAACTGCTGTTCTCATCATCCACGCTCTAGGTTCGGTCGGCTTCGTTCGGCTATTCTCCGTAGCTCTCTCTCTCTCCTACTTGCTCGCTCTTCTCTCCATCTCTCTTTCTTGCGACCTATCTATCCATATCTTTATCTATCTATCAATCAACCAATTAATGCAAGCGTGCACACCGTTCAGAACCTCCTCGTTCTATGCGTCCCCTGGTTTCCACTCTCCTCGGTGTTTCTCCTCTCTTCCACACCGTTCGAGAGCCCTAGTTTTCCATTCTCACGAAAACCACAACAAGCAAAAGAAAAAACTACGACTCCGACTAAGAAAGATAAGGATGGAGAGAGGAGTGAAGAAGATTCGACAACCAGCATGCGATAAACTACAACACTTGCACCCACACGTACGGGATATGGACTGCCGTATGAGGATGCGGCAAGAAAGGGAGAAAGCAACACATAATAGGAGAGTGTCAGACACAGAGAGAGCTCGAAAAGGGCCTAAAAGGAAAGGATCTGCACCTGTTGCTGGAATATTCGAAAAGTTTGCCGTTGGAGGAAAAGATGATCAACCCCACTTCGGCATCACAGAGTATGGCCAGCTCTTTCGCTTTCTTGAACAGGCCCCTCCGTCGCTTCGAGAAGGTCACCTGCCTCGCGGTCTTGTTGTCTATCTTCCTAATCTTGATCTTCCCCCTCGCCATGCTTTTATTCTCTGTCCTCCAACTTCTTTTGCCTCATCACATCGCTCGCGGATCGATCCAACGGTGCCCTACAAAATGGAAGAATGGATAAAACCTTACGAGGAAGAACATGTTGCTATGAGTTTGGAAGTCCGGATCTCTGGAATCTTGTTTAATAAAAATTTCGCGGCTTTGCCAAAGTCGGAACAGCCGATCAGTGCCCAAGAGGTGTAAGATGCTGTACGAGCCCTACAATCGGAGATTACCCGATGTGGAAAAAGCCGGGAAGATGATGGAAGACAAGGTAGGTTTTGTATTCGACAAGAGAAAGTAATCCTTACCAATTCTGAAGGAAAAGAAGGGTGGAGATGACAGAAAGTGAGGGGAGAGGACAGAGAGAGACAGAGGAAGTAAACCTAAAAGACGACCGCCGTTTCTGGACCTCGGGTCGGTTTTTCCTCCCACCCTTCATCCTTACGGTGCCCTTCAGAGCACATTAGATATACGACCAATAGGAGACCGGCGAAAGACAGCTGAAAAATCAATTCTTGATTTGGACTGAGGGAGTCAGTGGAGCGTCTCATTTCGCTATCCAATCACGTGGTTGCCTCCTTTCTCTCCTTCTCTTCCCTCGATGGTGCACCCTTTCCTGCCTATCAAAAGCCATTCCTGTAAATGATATGTTAGATCCCACTACTTGCTCTCTCGTATCGTACCAGGAACGATCCTTCTCCCATCGGTTTCTCTTCCCTTATTCGTAGATTGTGCAATCAACTGTCGTTTCAGACATCGTTCCGCCGCTTGCGTATAAAGTGAAATGGAATACAATTCAAATGTGCGCACTGGCACTCATTGACAGAAAAACGTTGACCCTATGTACAGCGAGAGAGAGAGGTGAGATGACGTACAGAGGAAGAAGATGGAGATGCACGGGACTCGGAAACTTTTCTACGACCACCACTGTGTTCACAGGGGTAGCACGCTGGAGAACAGGTAGGATCGCCAAGAATCGGGCAGGTGCCACCAAAGCTAACGCCAACTGTAACCCGATATAGATGGTACTATGAGACCTCTTAACCTCAGACACTGCATTTGACAGAGCCGCGTGGACAACAGTGGTCGCAAGTATCACATATATATCCCTCGGTTTTTGCCGATTTTTGGTTCGTGAGAAGCTAAGAGTCAAATGGCGATGCCCCCTCGTTACAGGCTTTCGCCCGATTCGGTCTTGGCTATGATTACACTTACGGAGAAATCGATCTTTTGTTTGCAAGCTCCAGTTATAAACGTCTGTGAGCTGAGTCTGTTCCGGCTGTTGTTTAACTTCGAAGAGAAGCAGCGACAGATACTTTTTTGCTTATTTGTCATGTGTGACGTAGCATGTCTCATTGGTTTCTTCCTAAGACATTCATATAATCTCCAGTCGTGTACTAGGCTTTCTTTTGGTTGAATATACCATCATTAGTCTATTGATGGATGTTTCATTTGAAGTTAGAAAGTAAAAATGACAACTAAAAATGTTTGGCAAGTTATCATCATTTATGTCATCCATGAGTATGTTATTATCATCGTTAAGAGGAGCTTGACTCATCATGGTCTAATTCATACCATCCATATATTTCCCAAGAATTAGACCATTTCGCATCAAATATGTCTCTATTAATATGAGCATATAAATTATCAGTAGATTGAAGAAATTATTTCAAACTAAGCATAAGTATTGTTTCTGACCAATTGAATAAACTTTTGAAAACACTTCAATCTAAGGCAAGTTTCCAATGCCTCAAAGTAAATTATATATAGTTTAAGCTTTAAGATTTTGAAAATAACAATAAAAGAGGAAGCTTAAGCATTCTTCATTTGTCATTTTCTAACTTGTTTAGTATAGTTTAAGCTTTCTATCCGTGCTTTCAGACCCTTTGAATCTTTTGCTTTCCGTTATAAAAGGTTCCCTTAGCTTCTAACAGCATCTCAAAAAGGTTATCAAATCTAAACATAATTTCTCATCACTTTTTATGATTATAACATCATGTTCTTTAGAGTTGAGAATTTTATTTGTATCAAATTTAATGTGTATGAGAAAGTGGCACAACTAATGAAAATATACTTTAATTTTCCTATTGATAAATTTTGAGTCAATATTGTTCTCTTGTGATAATACTTCGGCTCTCTTGACCTACTTTACTCTCTGATGGTATCTTGTATGAGAAGCATTATCTAAGGATAATATGAAAACTGATTTCAACTAAATTCATATCTCTAGTGGCCTAAATGGTATCAATGCACTCTCTAAGATTCGTGGCTTTAGGTGGCAAAATATTATTATTTTGTCCTAACTCAATATTCTGGATATATACTTTAGAAAGGCTCATGTAAATTTGTATTTCTTGATAGTGAAAGTGTTCATGGAGAAATAACCTGTCTCATTGATTCATAACCTTTTTTTATTGTAGTGCATACACCTAGAGTGAGAATTTCATCCCCTAGATTTCCACCTAGAAACGTCATTGATAATGAGTAAACTTGAAAATGGAAATATTTTCTAAACCAATTTATTTAATGACCCTTCTTCAGATTTTTTTCTATCAAAATTTAATCTTATTTAATTATAAATACTTTTATACTTGATAATGAACCTTCTTCAAGTTCAATATTTTTATACTTGATTTTACTATTAAGTGGTGTTTAATAGTAACCTATGCGTAAAATAGATTACTTTGGTTCTATTAAGAAAACAATCTATTCAGATTTCAATGTGGTGGAAGCATTTTTCAAAGGATCATCCAAAATTATTTTCTCAAGTATGGAGATCTTTAACTTTATTTACAATATGAAATAACCCATTGTTGTTTTACTCAAATATTTGACTTCATATAATATGGTAATTAAAATTGGTGCTCTTGTTGACTTTAGGTGCCTTTCCTATTTTGATGTTGGTAAAATACATATATAGGTAAAACATTAATTTCATACTATAATTTTATTATTAAAGATTTTTTATAAACCATATAAAACTCTTATATGATTTCAAAATTAATTGCCATTGTATCTCTTTTATTTTCCATGAAAGTAATCAACTCATAAGCATTTTGCACTCAAAACTAAGACAGACACTATAAGGGAAAAGTAGAAATTTTGCAATCATAAGATTGCATTCGTACTCATATATTGCATTACAACTAATTAGAAAATTCTATGTTTATTGGCCCACAAGTGTTTCTCATTTACTTATGCCAAGTTCTCATTATGGCATTGAGATGACTCACTTGCATACAACTAATTTAAAACTAAAATGATTAAAAGTAATTCATCTTACATAATTGGCAAAGACTAAAAGTCAAATAAAAAAAGTTATGACATAGGCAATTGAGGTAATATTAGATGAAGTACTAACATGACTTAGTCATTGTATAGTAAATCATGTAAATTTAAAATTTATAAAATTAGAAAATACTAATTTTTAAATATTTAGAAGTATTTCTTAATAAATATATCAATTATAATTTAATAAAAGTTTCAAAATATTAAAAAATTTCCAAGTCAATCACAAGGATCTAATATAATATTGGGTAAATTTTTAGAATTTGTCTCAAAAAATATGAGTTTTTATAAAAATTTTATTGAGAAATAAAAATAAAATATATTTAGAACTCATGAAAAGAGAAAATAAGGGTGCGATGCTAGGATGACATTAGCACCCAACAAATGCAAATTAGGCAAAAACAAAGTTCCATCTAGTAATTCCTACATAAGTGATTATAGATAATTTAATTGATCAAATTAAGATCTATAAAAGTAAGAAGAATCATAATTGAATGAAGAAGAGTTTAATAAATTTAAATCGCACAAATTATTAGTAAATGAAGCAAAAATTAAGTTGAAAGTAGAAAAATAGAATTTTGATCTTGTGGTTGAAATACATCGACAATACATTAGAATCCCAAGTATTTAGGAGGATTATCGTGTAGTGTTCATAGCCTCGAAGGCTTTCCTTAGACAAAGGCAATGTGGACAATCTCTAAATCTTCTTGTGAAGTTCAAATATGAATGAATAGGGTCGTCGAGTCATCTCTAGCAGCTGTCATTCAACGAAGCAAAAAAATGACGACTTTATAATTCTCCAGCAGCTATCACATGACAGAGAAGGGCTAGATGGAGGTAGGGTGCGTGTTAAGGAGCTTTCTTCTCATGTCTACACGACAAGAGAAGGCTCTTCATTACATCTTATATGCTTTCAAGAGGTGGTGACTTGTCTTTCAGTGGATTGTCCTCTTCTCGATGATAGTTTGTTCATCAATCAATCAAAAATCCTTTACTTAATAGACTCATGATACTTTTATTACAAATTATTTAATAATTTTAGTAACAATACTTCATAAATTGCATCAACTAAATTCTCTCTAATGATTGAGCAATTCTAGTAACTTAATCCTTCACTAATGATTTGTAAGAAAGTCACGATTTAATCAAATACAAATACAAGTTTTGACTCTAGTAGTATTCAAACCCACATAGATTGTGTGGTGCGGGTTTAGTCCTACATCGATTGTACATCAAAGTTTTAGGCAAATATATAGTAATATCAGATTTACAAGTAATAAGTTTCTTTCCCATGTGTATGACTATTCCTTACCCCACAATTAGCTAGCCATCAGGGACGTGGAGGAAGAGTGACACACACGTGCTCCCATTGCTCCATAGCTGCTTGAGCCCCTACTTGTAGCTCTCTCCAACTACACTTTGACCCATTGGCAGGCTTAACTAGCCACTAGGTCCCCTCCTTTTTTTATAATTTTATTTTAATTTGTTTCTTCATTTATCTCAAAAATAAGATTATAAAAATCATATAAATTTATATAAAATCACATAATTAGCCAAAAATTCATATTAATCAATTAAAAATCATATTTTATAATTTAACATAAATATAAGTCTATTTATCATGAGTTAAGGTTAAAAATATATTATTTGTTAATTATTAACTCATGATAATGAAGACTTATTATACCTCCCAACTTAAATCATTACTAGTCTTTTAGCAATAGAATTAGGAGAATAAAAATTCAGAAATCTCAAAACATCATATTTCAATATATATATATAAATATAATT